TCCTCTATGAAGAGCCACATGCTGCCAAGGTAGGATCTCACCTAGAAGCCAGATGATGAGGCCCATTCGAGAGCCCCGTGTGAATACACATGGGAGCAGAGCGGAGCCACCACAGGCCCCTGCTCCTTCATGTGGTTTGCGCTCCGAGTCCCATGAACCCTGTGGAATCTGTGGGAAGTCGGGAGCGTTGGCTCTGACACAACAACGTGGCAGAACCTCTTCCAAAGCCCTTGAGGACTGGGAGGGGGTAGTGAAATCTTTCTGGTCTGCAAGTCTGGCTGGAGGACAAACAATATTTTCTCCTCCCTTGCTTTTATGAGAGTATCACAAAAGCCCTCCTTTCCACGGGAAATGGGATGGTGCTAAACATGGTGTCCCTTCACACAGCAAAGGGCAATCGCAGACCTGCCCCGTTGGCCGGTCACCCGCAAGGAGGTCCACGTACATCCCCAGTGAGGCAATGTCAACGAACTAGCTTGCTATGTGAGATAATAAGTAAAACATCACCAGCTTATTTTAGATATTGTGAAATTTAGCACTCCTAAGATCACTGTCAATGCCTGAGAGATTCGTGTACTGTTTCTTTTACTCCGTTTGTCATCTGGAAAAAACAGCCATAGAAAACTTAATTAAAACTCCATACTAGATATGCTGAAAAGGGAGAAGAAATCATATACCTGTATTATCAAGAAGCAGACTGTAACCTAGGGGTATTTGCCTACGTCACCTTCTCACTAGAACCACATTCAAACACTCCCAGCTGTCTCCTCTGCATCCAACCTAGTGGTCAAAAAAGCAAATAAATAATGAAATCCTTTTGAAAAGCTCTTCCTCCATGAGCCATATGGGCATTAAGTACTCCACAAGAAACTGCATTCAAAAGCATACTGTGTCTGCAGCTGTGTCTAGCATTCCTGTGAAGAACAGGAGCAGAGGGAGAAGGCACCTGAATCTCCCCAGACCACCTGCAGATAAATTCAGTTTTGCAAGACAGACAGGAAGATCCCAAGGAAGTAGTAAGTTTTTCCCCTTTAACTCTATTCATTAATGCAGCCCTACCATTGAAAGAAATTCAAGTGTTAGGGTCTTGCATGCTTTTTCAAGAACTACTTAAAGTATTAAGAGTGTTTTAAAATGGCTAAATATTTTAAGTTGCTTAAAGCATATAAAATATTTAATTGTAAGGGAACCATCAGATCACAGAACTCACAACAGAAATGTTGAAGGATTATAATCCTGGAGGGATCCTACTCAATGAGTTCTGCTGCAGCTCACTGCCATTCTTCAGCAGG